GCCCCTACATGCAACTTTGAGAAGAAATTTTATCACAAAATATTAACTGCACGAGACATATAGCATGAGTATAACTATATTTAAGGACAAATATACTCATACCATTCACAAAGTTTTTTTTGTATTACAAATACAAAATACTTAATGTATGAGCGAGAAATTTGTAGCAAGAGTATACTTGTATTAAACTATATATATTTGGAGACAAATCTACTCATGTCATTTGCAAGCATATATATATATATATATATATAATCCGTACGTAGGCATAGTTTAGAATGGTTGACTTAGCTAGAATAACCTAAAACCGTCACTTATCTAATTATTATATGGCTGGAGAGATTATTTATTTATTTATTGGGTATATGTGTGTAAAAGTAAAACGAGGGCAACGAGACAATAGAAATTATATTATTCCACCCCGCAAAAAAGAAAGAAAGAAATTATATTATTACGACAAATAACACAAAGACCACCGTACCCTAATCAGGTACTACTACAAGAAGAAGCTAACTAGCAGCAGATCATAATAGAGTTGTTTTTTACTCAGCTAGCTATTGAGATATTCAGATCTGTGTATATACTCAATCAGTGGCGGCCTAGCTAGTCATTATTATTAGTAGAAGAAAAAATATATAATAAAGCAGGATCATATCGGAGGTTTGTTTACGCCGGCCCGGCATGCTGGATCGCTGGATCCTGCTGCTTCCTGCATGCATGCGAATGCGATATATATATGCAAGTTGACGCTGGTCTGGTCGGTATGTAGCTAGGCGCACATGCATGCATGGTTAGTTTCTTCATGGGCCTGCATTATTGCCATGTTCATGTGGACTTGTTTGACTAATAAGACATGATTGAAAATATTGTTGACTGATTTGGTGTGAGAGGAAAATAGTATTCGTTGCCTGAAAAAATACGGCTTATAAACAAACAAGCCTAAACGAACTGGGCATATATTGGGTGTGACTGTGATACGTGGACCGGGCTATATATGCTATGCACGAGCCAATGGATCGCTGGATTCAACGAGTTCATTCCCAACAGTGTCGTGCGGTTGCAACTTTGCCCCAGCCGGGATGAGCTACAAAAATTGGCTGGGGCCCTGGCTCGCATCGCAGCACCGGACGGATGGGAAACCTCCATCGTGCTCGTTTATTAAGGTGGTCCTCCATCTCCATCGGATAGACCACAACGCGCGTCCTAGGTTGGGGCCGACCGCCGAGACCCACGCATGCACGCGCACGGCCCGCCCTTCATTCCTCGATATATTGATTGATGACCTGTCCATGGGCCCATCCGAATAATTTTACGATCGAGTTACCCACTCCGTCCTTGTACTATATATGACAATGCTTTCTGACTACTGAGATATAAGATACCTATATTTAGATTTGGTAAAATTTATTACAAAGGAAACCGGTCATAATTCTAGGACAAGCTTTTTAATTGGGTTTAATATATGGGTTCATGTGTTGTCATCTGAGAATACATTAAGGGGGTTCATTTATATTATTCTCATAACACCATAAATTTAAAGGAGACGCCAGTGCGTGGACGTGCGCCCGGACGCCTGCGCGCTGCACCCGGTGTCGCGTGCATCTACGTTTCCTGCGGCCTCCTTCGTTTCCCGTGCCCGCATGCCTCGCCCTGCCTGCACCACCCGCTCGCACACAGGAACTGCACGCTTCCATCCCGCTTGTCGCATGCAGGCAGGGACCGCCTGCGCCCCGCTCCGTATCATGCATGCGGGGACCGCCTGTGCCTGCTCCGTATCGCGCTCGCACCCCATACCTGCGGATGTGCGCCGTGTGACTCTGGCCATCCCATTCAACGCTTGAAACATGAAAACACTTGTAACACAAAAAAAAACTTGCTGCTACGTCTGAATTAGATGAAACATTTGGAACAAACGCGTGCAACATCTGTGTGAAACAAATGCAACATACAGATAAAACACTTGCAACATGCATCTGAAATGGATGAAATATTTCAAACAAACGCTTGCAACATATGTGTGAAAACATATGCGACATCCAGATCACACACTTGCAACATACATATGAAAAACAGATGAAACATTTTGAACAAACGCTTGCAACATACATGTATATCTATTGCAACATGTGCAACATCCCGATCTACTTTTGCAACATCCATATGCAACACTTGCAACATACCTATGAAACATCTAAAACACTTGGAATATACGCTTGCAACATGCGCTTCTTTCTGTCGTGGTGTCTTCGGCCAACCACGGTAGACGATGTCCCAGCAGGCGACGACCTTCACCCGGTGGTGTCGGGTGGTGGTGGTGGTGGCGCGGTGCTCACCGTGGTCACGACAGGCGAGCGCGGAGTGGGGCGCGGCGGTGGATGGCCGTGGCGGTAAGGCGGAGTGGGCGGCTCAATGATGGATAACCGTGCGGCGAGGCAGAGGGGACGGTGTGGCGGTGGATAACCGTGCGGCCAGGCAAAGTGGTTGGCGCGGCGCATGACGGGTGCACGAGCGGGGAGATGGTCACGGAGGCGAGGAAGACTGGTGCGACGTGCGTAGGATGGGGGCACATGCCAGGAGATGGCCGCAGCAGCGATGCGGATTGGGGCGAGCGGATGGCCGGACGGTGCCGTGAAGCATGTGATGGGCGAGCGGAGTGGGAAGATATTTTTGAGAGAGACGATGAGACTTAGAGAGCAGGCAGGCCCATCAAGGAACGTCTGGGAGGACGGACGCCATGACTGAAGCATTACTGTAAATTTAGGGGGTTCAATTAGTAATAATATTATATAATAAAGATTGCAAGTTAGGGAAATGCAAGCTGTTTGTTTTAAACAAGTTGTTGTTAGATTTTTTTTTTGAGAAACCCAAGTTGTTGTTAGATATTATGTCGTATATGGGTCGTTAGTCGTTACAACCTGGTTACGACACAATTTCGGGGCCTGTTGTTTTAACTCTCAGGCCCATCAGCTAGAGCTAGCAGCACTGGGTGCGCGCAGGCCCAGGCATGACTGCATTCGCAGCCCATCCACCACGGATGGAATCGGACCGGGCCGCATTGGTTTTGTTCGATTATTGGGCCAGTGCCGAGCCAGCAAGTCCCTGGGTCACGACAACAGTCATATTGCCTCGCTCTCTTTGTTGGGCTGGACCTTCAATTCGCAACCTCTCGCAGTCTAAAAAAAAGGTGCAAAATCTTCATTTCATTTGTGTTTTTGCGAGTGCTGCAGTGGGCGTGTGTTTTGCGGTCCCAGTGGCGAGGTCAGCAGATTTCAACGTTCGTCAGTGATTAATTTTTAACAAGATTTAATTTATCCCATGGCCTGTAATTCCCCTCTATTGCTGGTTCAATTTGTGGGTGATTCTCCGAGTCCGATCCTAGATCGCGTTCCACCACATCTTCACTACACATATTCAAACGCAGGCAGGGCCAGGGAGCGATGAACCCCGGCCGAGACCCACGTCATCCTCGACGAACTGGCTCGGCGCTTCTCTGAGCACGACGATCAGCTATTATATTGACTTGCACATCAATAATCCACTGCATCCAAAAATTCAGCACTATCATTTTACAATCAGTTTACCTGGCTCGAACCTATTCAATAACCGGAATATGGAATGTTCTTTTCTTTAATAAGGAAATTAATTAGGCCAACCACCAACGTAACATTGGAACATATTTGAACCAATCAATGTTAATCTAAAGATAATCTGGTTAGAACTTAAACAACACGCTGCTTTGTATACAGTGGCGGAACCAGCAACTTTGATTAAGGGGGTCAGACAAATATGATGACACACATAAGTGTATATCTCAACAATTTTTCAGTGCTTTTATATGTGTAGTTAGTATTCTTACAGAAAAATAGATAAATTGTCGCATTTTCACAATATTATGATTAAAAATAGATGAATTGTCACGTTTTGTGCTGTAAATTAAAAGCGTTTATAGGAATATTTAACAAACTTTCACTGTGTTGGGGGAGCGGGGCATGACCCCTGCTGCCAGCGACGAAGGCAACGGTGGGGCGGGGGGGGGGCTCCAGCCCCCCTACCGATCCCAGACATGTGGAGCCCCCTAAGTTTTTTTTAAAATTTTATGCATATATATAATAGGTAGGAGGGGCTAAGAGATTAAGAGAAGATAAAAAAGCCTCTATTCCTGGTTGGGCTGAAAGAGAAAATAGCTCAGTTGGTTAGAAGTTAGAAGCCCAACCGAATCGGCGACTCGAGACACAGGCGGCGGGCTCGCTTTCTGTGGCTCCTCGGCGGCTCCAAAGACGCCGCAGACGCCGCCACGCCCGGCCCAGAATGAAAGCAAAGAAGACATCGTCTCGCGGCGGCCGTCCGCATCCGTGATCATCAGCATCGCTGTCGGCTGGTGGCTGGATCTCGAGCGGCATGCCGGCACTGGAGGAGCCGGGCCGCGCCGCCCGCCTCCACGCCGGCAACGCGACCTGACTCGCCCGCTGCTGCTCCACGCGGCAGAGCCTGTGGCCCGCCGTCCGCCTCACTAACGCCACTTCAGCCAAGCCGAGGCAGGCGCGCCCCGCCCGCCGCCGCCGCCGCTAAGCGCGCGCCCTCATGGCTGCATGAGATGTATGCAGCGTCCGTGTCTGCGTCTGGAGGCTGGAGGCTGCGGTGCCGGCGGCTTCTTCGAGCTGCTAGGGCGCTTCGCCTCGCATTGATCGCGTAGCCGGGCGCCGGCCGGGCATCAAACGTCGAAAGAAAGCAACCGAGTAGGTCATCTACTACTACTACTACCTACTATCATCAATCTTATAAAGAGCGAGTCCGAGTAATCTTGACTAGTGACTCACGAGGGCGATGTGATTGCAGACTTGTGAGACTTTGCGATGTTTTCTTTTTTGACTCGGTAGGAGCAGCCGAAAGCAGCGTCGGAGCAGGCAGCCCAGGTGATTTTTTAATTATGAAATTAAGTCTGTGACTGTGATTGAAAAATGGTTTGATTCTTGATGGATTTTAATTTTTAAATTTTCAGTATGTCGTCGAAAAGAACTCTGCGCAATTACTTTTCAAGTTCTAGTGGTAGTGGTCCATCAACTAATGAGAGCACAACTCAACCAAAGAAACCTAGAGCTAGAAGAACTCCAGAATTTCTTGGATGCACTGAACTTGGAAAAGTTGCTGAAATTATGGTGAAGACTAAAATGCACGAATCTTATAAATTGGTTTATCGTCTCATTGAGCTAACCTTGATACTACCGGTGGCAACGACTTCAGTTGAAAGGATATTTTCAGCCATGTCTATTATAAAGACATATTTGCGTAGTAAAATGGGTGATGACTGGCTCAATGACTTGATGATATGCTATAATGAGAAGGAGAAATTTAGAAAGATTGATAATGAAAAGATCAAAAAGCGGTTTCAAGATATGAAAAAGCGTCGTATGTTATTGCCTAAAAAATTAGTGGTATACTCTATTCTCTTCTAAATTCATAATTTGGCGGTCCAAATATGTTTGACTAATCAATTATGTCTATTTGTGTAGATTGCTACTTCGGATGAATAATGTGTGTCAACGTCAAGCACTCAAGCGCCGTCTATTAGTTTCGTAATTTGGCCTTTCGGTATGAATGAACAGCTTCCTTTATTTTTCATGATGTATTTTATGAATTTCAACGTTAACCAATGTTTTTAAGTCGGTGTAGCACTTTTGTTCAGTCGGGTCTAAATTTTTTCCTAGCTTCGTCCCTGTTTAGCCCCTCCTAATATTTTTTCTGGCTTCGTCCCTGCCTGCTGCCCCTGGTTCCGCCATTGTTCGTATAATTCAGGCACCCCTACCTCAAAAACAACTTATCACTGCCAATCCCGACAGGCACCTTGCTACGTGTAGTGCAGGTGCAGTGAATCCCTGTTGCACGGATAAAAAATCCAAGTACCACTAGTGCTCTATCCCGATTCTTTCCTTTCGCGATGGGAGGTCGTACCGTCCTAAATTAAATTATAAGTCATTTTAATTTTCAGCCTGTTCGCTTGTTGGTTTCAGCCAGCCCAAACCAGTCAGCCAACAGTGTTTTTCTCTCAAAAAAAATCAGCACCAGCCAGCCCAAACTAGCACCAGCACCAACCAGCGAATATGCCCTTTATTGAAGAGTCAAAGCATCTCAAATTTAACCAAAATTATAAAAAGAATTACAAAGTTTTATGATAACAAATACATATACTATAAAATATAATTAATGAAGAAATCAAATGATACTTATTTGATATCATAAGTGTTATTATTTTATTATATAAATTTGGTCAAACTTGATATGCTTTGACTCTGTAAGAAAGTTAGAATGAGTTATAATTTGGGACGGAGGGAGTAGTATATGCTTTTGACTCTTTGGGTTTGTTTTTGATGTATCATATAGATGGCGGCAATTTAAAAGCAAGCATCAAATTATTTATTATAATGATAGAGATAAGTAGTTTAAAGGCATGCTTTAGGTTATTAGTAATGCCAAATATGAGTAATCTAGATAATGATAGGATCATTTTAGATTATTTTTTTATAATGGAAAATAGTTGTGACTTTTTGAGATAGGCCACATGAGATGGCTATTGTTATTAACGATGATTAAGGTGAACCAAAATGATTGTAAGGATTTTTCTTCCCATACGAGAATTTTAAGGAATTGTCAAGCATGTCTTGGGTGGGTGTTTTCGGCTAACTTTTGGTGCTTGGGTGCAAATAGAGTTGCTTAGGGGGTGTTTGAATCCAGGGACTATAGTTTAAGGATGTTAGATCGGGTGTCACATCGAGTGTTCGGACAGTAATAATAAAACAAATTACAGAAGTTCTCAGTATTCCGTGAGACGAATTTTTTAAGCCCAATTAATCCCTCGTTAGCACATGTTTATTATAGCAACTACATTGTCAAATCATGGACGAATTAGGCTTAAAAAATTCGTCTCGCAAATTAGTTTCAATCTATGCATTTAGTTTCGTAATTAGTCTATATTTAATACTCCATGCATGTGTTAAATATCCGATGTGACAGGAACTAAAGTTTATAAGGAGAAAACAAACAAGGCCTTATTAAGAGTCTATTGGGAGAGTTCCCAAAGCAACTTCTAGGCTGGATCCAAAGTAACTCTATCAAACAGTATTTTGTAGAGACATGAACCTATAATGATTCTGGGAAATGATTATATGAAATGAACTAGGAGGTCAGAGCTGAAAAAACCTAGCTTCACGCATTATCTTCTGAGGTAAAATTATTTTCTACATAGAATTTATTTCACAAAATCACATCTAGCCACATAACTACTTTTATACCAAATAGATTCTAATTATTATTAAAAAATAAACCAGAGGTTGTTTGGTTCGGTGACATGCTGACATACATTTTTTAGAATTGGTGCACGCCAGTTTTGGTCCAATCCAAGGAAAACACTACGAAACAACATGAATTGTACCGCGGCTTTCTAACAGGACAAGACATCCCCTACTCAATATAAAAAAATATATATGACACACAACCGATTAATGTATCCAATTATGCACTTAATATTTTATCAATCTACCCACTTTTTACCCCCTCGTTATCTTTTTTCAACCCTCTTGTTGTCCTACCTATCTCTCGAAAGGGTTTATGAACGTCCTAGGTGGCCACTTGTCGATTTTAGGACACCGTTGTTGTACGTCTTCCTGACAGGTCTTTTTGGGAAGCGTTTGTGGGTTTAGCTGATGAAGATATCAGTATACCACATACCAGCAATCCTTTTCTTTTTCATTTTTGTCAGTTACTTGAAGCCTCTAAAAGAAATTAAAGCCCCGTCAGGTAGAACTGTGGAGGACTCTTGTTTCGGTTTGTTTTGTGCACTGTAGCGAAAACCGTTTTTTATCTCTTATCTTAAAATGAATTAGGAGCCAACGAAACCATTATGTTTTGCTTCATCAGGTCCGGCTCCTCCATGCAGCAAGGAGCCAGACAAGACTTGTGCTCACCAAGGAAATAGCGTTGAGCACAAAGTCTTTGTCACCGAGCCTTACTAGCTTGGCATTTTTAGTCTACCCCAACCATTGCCGAGGCAATAAGGCCTGTCCGACTGGTATTAAAGCCGGCTTATTAGCCGACTGAAGCTATTTTGTTATGAGATAAAAATACTGTAGATACTAGCTGATAAGCCGACTGATAAGTTCAAGCGAACAGGCCAATCTTACCAAAATTTGAAGTTTAGCGTGGTTGCCGAAATGGCAATACACCAGAGCATGCATCAGCAAGGTCGGCAAAGATATATATGTGAAATGTTTGTGACGAGAATGACAAACAGTGCAGTGCCCGAGATTTACAAAGACCTCAGTGGATGATAATATACATATAAAATCAGTCATGACTCATTAACCTATACTATTATGTGTGTAACAAATATAAGCTGGCAAGATATTAATTCAAAAAAAAGCAATTGAACTAGTGTCATCCCGCGATTGCATCCTTGTCATGGCAATCGCTCAAAGGACACACATTTATCGCTGCCAATCCCGGCAGGCACCTCTCCCTACGTGTTGTGCAGTTACAGTGAATCTCTGCTGCACGGATGCGTGGGAAATTCAAGAACTACTGATAGTCTATCTGAAGCCTGTACAGACAAGTAGATGAGATACAGAGAATTGTTTGGAGATCGATGCATGGTGGCCTACGGCTCTGCTCTGCGGCGGCCACGCGCCATGGGCGACGGCGACTCGCTAGCGCTGTTGGTGTCGGATCCGGAGGAGCCGCCGTGCCTGGAGACGGCGAAGACGAGGTCCTTGACGCCGTCGCCGGAGGCGCGGATGTGCGCGAGGATCTTGCCGAACTTGGCCTTGGGCCGCTGCGTGACGGCGATGGACACGTCGTTGGGGAACAGGTCCTTGCGCACGAACGCACGGTACACGGTGGTCACCAGCACGCCGGCGACGGTGACGGTCGCCACCCCGGAGAGCCCCACGGCCAGCGCCCGGGTGAGCACGTTGGTCACCGCCGACGCGTACACCGCCGTCGCGATGGCCACGCTCGTCATCGGGAACGTGTACGCCCACCACGCCAGCGAGAAGCGGACGCCCCGGAACATGTTGATACGCACCACCTGTATACGTACGTACATACACGGTCAGCACATGCATGTTGTACATATACATCACGTGTGTCAGGAAGAGAAGAGAAGACGATAGATGTACACGTACCAGTGACATGTAGAGGAAGAGGGAGGTGAAGTAGAGGATCTTGGCGGCGTAGTTGAATTCGCCGCAGAGCCTCGCCCAGCCGACGGAGGCGACGCTGGGCGCGGCGATGAAGAGGAAGAAGACCGGGTGGAGCTCCTTGGGGAGCTGCGCATTGGTGGGCAGCCGCTGGTACAGCGTCACGAACAGCACCAGATAGTGCACCACCCCGACGGCGAAGAAGAAGATGGGCACCTCACGGAGCCCCATCTTGGCGCCCAACAGCGCGCCGACGAAGTTGCCGACGACGGCGAGGTGGTTGGTTGGGGTGGCCACCTTGGACAGCCGGCGGTCGCCACCGGACATCCACTGCCCGTAGATCTTGAGGTCGAGGAACAGGATGGGCGCCATGAGGATGTACCAGACGACGTGGTTGATGTCATTCACCGGGTGCGGCATGCCCTTGACGAGGAAGAGGCAGGCGATCCACGGCGCGAAGAAGAAATTGACGCGGATCGGGTGGTGGAACTCGCGCCGCACCGCCTCGAAGTAGAAGACGACCTTGAGGAGGTAGATGAAGGAGATGAGCGCCATGAGCGACGTGGAGACCCACCAGAGCGCGTTGTTCACGGCGGGGCTCACGTGCAGGAACGCCGTCGACGGCTCCGACTGCAGCGTCTTCCACAGCATGGCCTGGCTGCTCACGCCCAGGCACATCCCGAACGCGTTGATGGGGAACCGCAGCAGGAACGGCCACGTCTCGTCCTCGGGCAGCGCCGACACCTCCGTCGGTCTGAGCGTCTCCAGCTCGGGCCCCTCCAGCGCGGCGAAGTAGCGGTCCGCCGTGGGGACCTCGCGGCCGCCGCCGCCGTCGTCGGTCTCCTCCTCGGAGATCATCTTGTTGGAGTTGGAGTCGTCGGCGGCGGGCTCGATGTCCACGGCCACCCCGCGGAGGTTGGACAGCTGGCGCTCCAGGCGGCCGGAGAAGGTCTTGAAGTGGTCGAAGCGCCGGTCGCGCGTGCTGTCGCTGCGCGACACGGTGCGCACTCGCTGCAGCGGCGGGGGTTCCTCGGTCCGGATCGTCAGCGCCGGCTGCGAGTGGTACCGCGCCTGGTTCAGCAGCTGCGGCAGCGGCGCCGCCACCGCGTCCTGGTGCTGGTGCTCCGCCGGCTGTGGCGGCGCGACGCTGCGGACGGACGCGCACGCGCCGAGGTGCAGCCCCGACGGTGACGCCGGCACGCTGAAGGCGACGGAGTACCGCGGGGTCTCCGTCGCCTCCGCCGTCCTTGCAGCAGCAGCAGCCACGGGGGAACCGGAAGCGCGGCCACCGTCGACGAAGGTGGTCCGCGCCGGCGGCAGCGGCAGCCGGAGCGGCTCCGGTAACGGACGCGTCCTGCTGGTGCCGTCGCCCATCCCCGCCATCTGGACGCTCTCGCTGGTGGACATGGCAGCTCGCTCGTCAGGATCGCTCAGCTCGCGTCGCCGCAGCAGGCGCCGACTACGTACACATCAAGCAGCAGCTGCCTTGTGGAGTGGATGTGCAGCCGAGCTCGCGCTCGGCGCCCGTATATATAGAGGTCAGTGACGCGGACGTCGGAGCAGGCACGTGGCCGCATCCGGAAGGTTCGTCCCTGGCACGTATCCCGCGTGGCCGTGGGTTGCCAGCGCCGATGAAGACGGCGAACCCGGCCGGGGGAGACGTGTGTGACTGCGGGAGAGGGGGCCCGGCCGGTCGTATCTGGACCGTGTCAGCGACGGCGAAGAGGTCATGGCACGGACTACTCGCGTAGAAACCAAACCATCCATTAACTACTGTCCCATACATCTCTGTTTTAGTACTCTGTTTTTCTTCACCTTTCATTCCACGTTTCCACCTCTGTCCGGAATAAAATGCTACTCTACTGTTTTCAGCTAAACTACCTAAAACTTTGCTGAAGTTATATAAAAAGACACACACACACACACACACACACACACACACACACACACACATATATATATCAATATTTATGACATCAAGTGAGTAGATTATTATGAAAAATGAATCTAATATTTTTATTTGGGACAATGATATTGATTTTTTATAAACTTTATGGAATTTAAAATGTTTTGATTCAGAACTAGGGCGGAAATTGTACTTTTTAGAAGGTGATACAACCGATTGCGTCCAAGTCAAAGTTGTTATTATTATTATCAATATCAGGATATTTTATTCACTGTATGTAAGCGTCTCTACGTACCTTATTGTATTCCATAATTATTTTCTTCTTCAAGTTTCTCATGTATATATACCTCTGTCCTACAAAAGTCACAGCTCTAGTAATTTTGAGCAAAACTATCGACAGTTTAATAAACTATATTAATACAAAAAGACTACATATCAATATTTATGGTATTATTAAATGTCCTATAAAATATATTTCAAAAAAGAATCAAATGATCTTATTTGGTACTATAAATATTAGGTTTTATATAAATTTATTAAATTTATGACGGTTTAATTCAATACTAGACTAAAAATGTACTTTTTTGAAGGGGTACAACTGATTGGTTTAAGGTCAAAGTCATTATTTTTGGGGTATTTTATTCATTATGAGCGTGTCTATGTGTGTTTGGTTCTCGATCACAATGTGCCATGCCATAGGTAAGTAATGCCACAGTTTTTTTGGCAACCGTTTGGTTTGCTGCCACAACTACAGCGTGCGGCACTTTGTTAGCACCCTGTCCCATATGTCAAAGGCTCATTTTCTTGCTAAACTTTGTCACAATTGTGCCTTCAATTTTACTCACCAAACTTTCTGTTTGCAGCCATAGTTTGCCGAAGGTTTGGTGTGACAAATTATTGTACCAACCAAATAGGCCATAATTTTCGACAGTGATTGTTCAAGTTACATGGTTGATTAGACTAGGAGATTTCGAATCGTTAGGCATAAATAAACGTCCCTCTTCTCACTTTTGCTTTTTTATATAAGCCTCTTCTCTCACTTTAGAAACAACACTCTGTATACATAGCATGTGTAGGCATCCATTTATATAACAACCATCGTCCGTGAAAGGATTTCTATTTACGAAAGGTTGTCTAATAGGTCAAAAAAGATACTATTCATGAAACTACATAGCACGTGTACCCATTTATATGTATCTTACTAGCTACTCACTCCATTGTCCGTTCTGAATTATAAATGCACACATTTCAAAGTTTAAACTTTGTATTACCACCGCCGTCCACCGGCGGACCGGCCGATATAGAGCGCCATGCATAAGAGGGAGCATGGCGTGCACATAAAAATGTGCACGCACGGACGCTAGCTAGTAATGGTCGTGTTCGTTTCGCTGAAATTTGACTTATGCTGTTGTTTACGCTGATTTGTTGTGAGAAGAAAATACTTATTTCTATTCCACTCTCAAACAGATCGAGGAAGATTCATATACATAGATAAAGAAAAATGCAGGCGAGGACAAGGACGAGTGTAATAGAACGTACAGCAGTAGTACAGTGCTAGTAGCTATATTTCTGGACTGACCTGGCCTCCATCAGAATTGAATGGACTGAGTGCATGCGTGTGCTTGTGGAAAATTTTACCTGCAGCTGCAGCCTGCAGGAACCAGGAAGAAGCCGATCGATCCGTCTTTGCACGCACTGCACACAGTCGTCGCCTGTGAAAATCTGTCTAGCTTGTCCAATAGGATCGCAGTATAGCAATGCGTGGATTACTTCTAGTCTCCATGGTCGATGGGGATCGAGAGCTCGTCGTCGGCGTCGTTGTTGAAGAAGGACGGATACCTACCATATATACCATGTTCTCGTTCGCCGGCACTAAACTTTTCAAGGACGATGCGAGGACGTCGTACGATGTGCGTGCGTGTGGGGTGCATGCATGGTTCACGAATCACGAATGAGAGAGACGAGCTCTCGAATTGTGTCCGGTCATCGGTACGGTGGCGACGTCTGGACCTGCCTAACTCACGGTAATGGCGCACGTTCGGGGGAGCAAGTTTCCTCCATGGAAAGTCGCGCGAGCGTATGGTAGCATCTCCAACAGTTAAACCCACCTCCAATCTTGTTCAATTCCTTTGGTATATCCCTGCTACATGATTGATTTTGTGTGGTGTTACCCTTTTTTTAATGGAGGCGGGCGGGCTGGGATGCCGCCGCCGTTAATCCGTGGACAGGCCGCTTGCTGAGCAACCGCCACGGTTAAGGATTGACGGAGGTCGGCAGCTTTAGGCATCCGCCTCCATTAATAATGATTGATCAACGGAGGCGGTCGCGTTAAGGCAACCACCTCCGTCAATCGATTAATGGGAGGCGGCCAAAATGTGATCTATTTATGGAGGCATGCCTTATAAAAGGTCCGCCTCAAAAAATGAATGCCGAACCCAGCCAGAACATTACCGTAGTCACATATAAAAGCTACACTTTAGGGTTTTCGTCTCACTCTCTCTTCCCAGCCGAGCGGCCGTCTCCCTCCACTCTCTCCCTCCCTCGTCTATCTCCTTCCTTCCCTCCCTCCCTCCACTCTCTACATCGTCGTGCGCGCGGCAGCGGAGGTCGTGCCGCCCGCATCTCTCTCTCTCTCTCTCTCGGTGGTGGTGCGGTGCACTAGCTCTCAGCGGGGCGCACGAGCAGGGCAGCGTTGGGGCACGCGGGGCTCAGCTCGCCTGTGCAGCGGTGCACACGTGGGGCCACGCGGGGCTCCTCCGAGGCGGCACTCGTGGCGGCGGTGGCTGGTCTCGTGCGCCGTGGCGGTCAGATATGGTCTCGTGCGCGGCGGCCGCGGCCTGTCTCGCGGCGGCAGCAGTCAGACCCTCTCTCTCTCTCTTCTCTTAGTACCTCTCTCATTGGGGCACGCGGCAGTGGTGCACACGTGGGGCCAAGCGGGGCTCCTCCAAGGCGGCACTCGCGGTGGCCGTGGCCGGTCTCGCGCGCGGTGCGGTCAAATACGGTCTCGCGCGCGGCGGCGGTGGCAGCCTGTCTCACGGCGGCAGCAGTTCGACCCTCTCTCTCTTCTCTCAGTACCTCTCTCACCCTCTCTTTTGTAGGCTGTCAAATCCGGTGGTTGTAGCCACGATGGGCCCGGCAGCGGCGGCCCAGATCTGATCGGTCCTGCGAGCGGCGCGGACAGATCTGGCGAGGCGTGGCGACGCACGGACAGATCCGGCGAGCGGGCACGTCGATGGGCTTGACGGGCCATGTGGATGGGCTTAGCGGGCTCATCGACAGGCCCCTATTTTTTGTTATTTTGATTTATTAACGCAGGCGGGCGCCTTAAGGTGTTCGCCTCCATTATTATGTTAACTGAGGCAGGCAAAGCAACCACCTCTGTAGGTCCGGATTAACCGTGACTTTTGAATGGAGCCAGTTGCAATGCCCGCCTCGAGAAACCAAAAACTTCCGCCTCCATTAAATTTACTGTAGTAGTATATGATGGAAAAAAAACTTACTCTAGTTCTTTATATGACTCCCAAATCTATCTTCTCTTGGAAAAATGGAGGTATCCACGCGGACGACCGATACTCCCTATCTGTTTTTTCCTCGACTCTCTCCAATGCCCACGACTGCCGCCTCTGCGGAGGTTCACCAGAAGTTAGATCTCCGGTGAATATTTTTAGATTTTGAGAATACTAAGAGATAGAGGAAATTTCATTTTTGAGTTTCTGGGTGTGAGTTAAGGTATCGGGATGGCCGGCCATGGTCTGATTGTCACCATCTAGAAAGCTCGTCGGAATTGGATCTCCGGCCACTATTTTTAGATATGAAAATACTAGGAGTCAAAAATAGTTTTGTGTGTGAGCTAGAGTGCCGTGGATAGCCAGGCATGACGGCGAGTTATTTCGTCCACGGTCGGTGGCTCGGTATGTACGGGAGGCGTCGACATGCATGTTTATAGGAACGAATAAAAGAGAATTGTTGATGAAGTGTATTTTTTCTATATCCAATAGTTTTTTTAGAAAGGTTCCAATACTAAGCTTTTAGGCTTAATTCTTTAAATACCGTTGGAGATGCTCTCTAATATTATTAGCGCTAGTACATTTTTTTTTGCCTGACGTATAGATATATAACATGTCATGACAGACTATATAAGTCTATAACTATACTAACTAACTAGTACTCCATCCTCAAAACTCTAGTCTGCATGGTCGTCGTCGTCGTCGTCGTCGTCGTCGAAGATACCCCCTATACCATTATTCTCATTCGCCCCCAAATAAACTTAAACTAAACTTTCCACGAGGTGATCGATTACGATGTGTGTGTGATATATAGGTTCACGAACGAAAGAGCCAGCCAGTGACCTCGATCTCGAATTCGAACGTGCGTGCGCATTGTCCGGCCGGCCGCCGGTCATCGCTCGCGACGTCCGGACGCCCAACTAGAACTAATGGCGCACGTTCTTCGGGGAACATGCAAGTCGCGGTTGTCTTCCATGGAAAAGCAAGCAAGCAAA